GTTTTCGTAATCACATTGTAGAGCGAAATTTTAACTGAATAGAGTAGCGAAGCCTTATGACAACACAGTTGTTTACACTGTCGAAATGTCAGAAATATTTAAGGATTTTCAATTATTTAGAACATTTTGTAGGCACGTAAATTTTGCAAAGCTAGTTGTTTTGATAGAAATATTCTGAATTAAGGATTGCTGAAAATTGTATCATATTGGTCTATAATTCTGTTGGAAATATGGAAATTCAAGGCTATTTTGAATCAGTTTGCATTTTTAATTGATAAGATTTTAAGTTCAGCAAGCGAAGATTCATGATTAGAATCTATTTTGATTTTAAAACTTATTTTAAAAATTTCGTAGTTTAAATCTTGATCGAAAATGAGCAAAACATTTTTATAAGTTCAGGATCCTTAGGTTTATCAAGGTTTAAGGCAAAAGCCAAAGGTATTATCCCGTAACATACTATAATACATTATATACAAATATATTTGAAAAAGTGTGCTGATCTGAATAGTGAGAAACTCAGAAAAAACTCGTCTTTCAAATATCATGCATAACCTTAAAATTAATATTTTGAAAATTTCATTTCCTACTTCTATTCGACCTCTTAACATAATGCTACTTTAAAATAGCGCCAACAGTTTCCAAGAAAACTAGTGAAAATGTCTTATTTGTCTGTCTGCCATACAAAATTCAAATTACAAACAAGTTTTATATGAAATTTAAATGAAAATATTGTGTAGTCATTGAACGATAAGCATAATATCTTTTTTAAAACGATCAAGAACTCTAATAAAATCACTAAAATTGTAACGGTTTCTTTCAAATTTAAACTTTTCGAACGTGCATATTATAACTCCCCTAGACTTTCGATAAGTCTGTCGAACATGAATTGTTCGTATCAGCTTCCTACAAATCAGTTCATTATATAAATTAACTTCTATAGAAACCAAAACTTCTCATGAAACTCCTTCCATCTCAAAGTCAATAGGCATAGATGACAATATACAATGAAGTAAAAAACACATAAATCAATGAGAACTATGGATCCCATTGAGAATCCTCCCATGATCGCCAGATTTCACTGGAAATAAAAATCAATCAAATAGTAAACGGCCTGTTTCACTAAAGTGGATTATCCTCGATTTCGGATTATCCACTTCAGTTTTTTGTAAATATCTTAAACTTTATAGGAGGTGTGGTATTTCTAATTTTGGATTATAATAGAGTGAAGTATGCCTGAAATTTCTGTATACTTTAAACTTTTACTTTTCGTTAAGAACTATCAATTATTCAATTTCCTAGCCAAATCTAGTAGATTAACTTCAATATTTGCTGTAATTCTCAAACTAGTGAAGATATAAAAATTCTAAGTTTATGTTAATTTAAGTAGCAAAATACTCTAACTAGATCACACATTAGATCTCTTAATAACCTTAAGCATCTGGAGATATTTCCCAAAAATACTTTATAAAAAAAAACTTTTTAAAAAACTACGTTTTTCGCGTAGACTAAAAAGTAGAAAATAACTTTTATTCTTGGTTGTAAAGAATTTGGTTTTAAATTTTCAGATTATATTGAATAAATTTTTATATCCTAGTCAATATTGTTCACAAAGTTTCGAATAAGTGCACTTTGATCTTATCGTATAACTCAACAACTTAAAAACGTGGGCGCATTAATTTAAGTTTATCATAAAGTATTGATTTCACATAAACTTATTTCTCCTCTTATAATGCGCCCACGTTTTTAAGTTGTTGAGTTATACGATAAGATCAAAGTGCACTTATTCGAAACTTTGTGAACAATATTGACTAGGATATAAAAATTTATTAAATATAATCTGAAAATTTAAAACCAAATTCTTTACAACCAAGAATAAAAGTTATTTTCTACTTTTTAGTCTACGCGAAAAACGTAGTTTTTTAAAAAGTTTTTTTTTATAAAGTATTTTATTTTCTACTTTTTAGTCTTATTCTAATGAAATAGAGAAATAAAGATTAAAGGGGGTTTATAGGTTACAGGTGTGTTGAACTCCACTTCGTTGCACTTCGTTACGTTCAACTGTTAATAGATCACAGTAGGTTTATAGGTTACAGGTGTGTTGAACTTCACTTCGTTGCACTTCGTTACGTTCAACTGTTTATAGATTACAGTAGGTTTATAGGTTACAGGTGTGTTGAACTTCACTTCGTTGCACTTCGTTACGTTCAACTGTTTATAGATCACAGTAGGTTTATAGGTTACAGGTGTGTTGAACTTCACTTCGTTGCACTTCGTTACGTTCAACTGTTTATAGATTACAGTAGGTTTATAGGTTACAGGTGTGTTGAACTTCACTTCGTTGCACTTCGTTACGTTCAACTGTTTATAGATTACAGTAGGTTCATAGGTTACAGGTGTGTTGAACTCCACTTCGTTGCACTTCGTTACGTTCAACTGTTTATAGATTAGAGTAGGTTTATAGGTTACAGGTGTGTTGAACTTCACTTCGTTGCACTTCGTTACGTTCAACTGTTTATAGATCACAGTAGGTTTATAGGTTACAGGTGTGTTGAACTTCACTTTGTTGCACTTCGTTACGTTCAACTGTTTATAGATTACATTAGGTTTATAGATTACAGGTGTGTTGAACTTCACTTCGCTGCACTTCGTTACGTTCAACTGTTTATAGATTACAGTAGGTTTATAGGTTACAGGTGTGTTGAACTTCACTTCGTTGCACTTCGTTACGTTCAACTGTTTATAGATTACAGTAGGTTTATAGGTTACAGGTGTGTTGAACTTCACTTCGTTGCACTTCGTTACGTTCAACTGTTTATAGATTACAGTAGGTTCATAGGTTACAGGTGTGTTGAACTCCACTTCGTTGCACTTCGTTACGTTCAACTGTTTATAGATTAGAGTAGGTTTATAGGTTACAGGTGTGTTGAACTTCACTTCGTTGCACTTCGTTACGTTCAACTGTTTATAGATCACAGTAGGTTTATAGGTTACAGGTGTGTTGAACTTCACTTCGTTGCACTTCGTTACGTTCAACTGTTTATAGATTACATTAGGTTTATAGATTACAGGTGTGTTGAACTTCACTTCGCTGCACTTCGTTACGTTCAACTGTTTATAGATTACAGTAGGTTTATAGGTTACAGGTGTGTTGAACTTCACTTCGTTGCACTTCGTTACGTTCAACTGTTTATAGATTACAGTAGGTTTATAGGTTACAGGTGTGTTGAACTTCACTTCGTTGCACTTCGTTACGTTCAACTGTTTATAGATTACAGTAGGTTCATAGGTTACAGGTGTGTTGAACTCCACTTCGTTGCACTTCGTTACGTTCAACTGTTTATAGATTAGAGTAGGTTTATAGGTTACAGGTGTGTTGAACTTCACTTCGTTGCACTTCGTTACGTTCAACTGTTTATAGATCACAGTAGGTTTATAGGTTACAGGTGTGTTGAACTTCACTTCGTTGCACTTCGTTACGTTCAACTGTTTATAGATTACATTAGGTTTATAGATTACAGGTGTGTTGAACTTCACTTCGCTGCACTTCGTTACGTTCAACTGTTTATAGATTACAGTAGGTTTATAGGTTACAGGTGTGTTGAACTTCACTTCGTTGCACTTCGTTACGTTCAACTGTTTATAGATTACAGTAGGTTTATAGGTTACAGGTGTGTTGAACTTCACTTCGTTGCGTTCAACTGTTTATAAATTACCAGTTTTCAATGGGAAATTAGTAACGACTTTCAAAATTTTTCATTCGTTTTATAAAATTTAATTTTTTTAAAGCATTCATTAGTAAAGTACATTAAAAATCACTCGTAAAGATTTTGTGTTTATCTGTACCATTTCTACTTCATAACGTGTGGATTCTTAACATAAAGATGCAAATTACATCACATATGTAACGTATTTATAACGGATTTTCAAATTTAAATTCAATGAATATCATTTATATGTTATGCAAAAATACGTCAAACCGTTAATAAAAAGAAAAGTCAATTTAATTAAGTTGGTGAAGTGTTATAAATAATGCAAAACATTTAAAACAGCATAAATTTATGCTCAAACTATGTGTGCTAAATGCACATCGCATATTAATAGTTATTTTGCATTAATTCGTAACGGACTTGTGCTTAACGGTTTTTTTGAAAATTCAAATTTTCACTTACGAATATTCATGAAAAAATTACATGTCAATTTTTTTGTCTTACCAGAATATCTTTACCTGCTCAAATTTATGGTATAATTAATAATTAGTAATATTAATTAAACTATAATGAATCATATAAATGACTTTAGAGCATCACAAGTATAATATTTAATACAAATCAAAATTTTATATCATTGACATTGGATTTTTTCCCATATAAAAAAGTTTTACATAAATTGTACTATAATTAAGCATTTTTGTGTTTCCAAAGTGTTAAAATATTGTATTGTCACCGGGAATACGTGTGAATAAAAAATTTTAGCTCGATTGGAGCAGTAGAAGTGGTCGAAAAATTGATCGCAAGATTTGAAATTTTTTGCAAACAAACAAACAAACAAACAAACAAACAAACAAACAAACAAACAAACAAACAAACAAACAAACAAGAAAGCAAGTTAAGAAAAACGTAGTAATAAAAACTGAAGTGGATAATCCGAAATCGAGGATAATCCACTTTAGTGAAACAGGCCGAAAGCGCTTAGACCATCTGTAATAAAATTCAGTAGATTTTTTGTTCTATCCTCACATTACATTATCTTTATTCATTCCTGCATGTGGTATTTTATTGTGTCGTATCGTATCTAAATCTGCTTTCATCTCTTCTCTTTTATTCGCTAACTTTTCTCTTCTTTCTTTCTTGGTTCTTTTTCATCATCACAAAAAAAAATATAAAATAAAAATGGCAAAGATACTGGAAGAACATTGCGATGCATTAGAGCATTTTCACATGAAATAAATCAACTTTTGTGCTCATTGAACAGTGCAAAAACATTTGTGGCGTCAACGACTAATCAAATTAAGATTTATGAATACGACAAGTTTACGAAAAAGTCGGAATTTTCATTTCGAAATGACTTGCGGATAAAATTCATCAAATGGATGCCACATGATGACAAACTACTTGTTATCTTACACACTGATATCATCTGTATTCTATCCGTCATCTGTGAAGCAAATGCGCTCAAACTCATTCGACATTATGAGCCATTAAAAGCTAGAGAAAAGTTTTTAAGAAAGTCTAATAACAAAATTGAAATGTTGAATTACGTTTGTGATGAATCTTCAATGGCAGATGATGACGACAAGATAATAAAGTCAGTTATACAAGATTATCAAAACGGAATCATCACGGATGTTTCATTTCACTCGAATGGATATGCTTTCTGTGTGACATTTTTGGACAATACCATAATGCTGTGTTCGGCAATGTTATGGGATGTAAGACGAGTCTTTGCTTATCCTGATTTTCACATAAAACAATGTCAGTTCATATCGTATTGGAATGGTAATAATAATATCAGCAGCAATAATTACAATTCATCTAATGTGTTGTTGACTCTAACATCAAATAACGATCAAATGATGTTGACAAGCTTGAGTGACCTGAATTCAAGAATGTTAATTGATATGCATAATGTAGTCAGCTTTGTGCTCTCAACAAATGGCAAATTGTTGATAAACTTGCATCATTCTGGTGACTTGCTCGTTTACAATTTAGAAAATCATCTGAGTGCTCTAAACAAAAAGATCGTGACCGATACAAAAGTTAATCACAATGCATTTAATGACGAGCAGAAAAACAACCGTGAGGGACTCGTGGATATTCAAATGAAGGTAAATAAATTGTACAATAACTTCTTCGCGATCCTTTTCTTTTAACTTTGTTTACAAAGTTTACTGATGGGGCTGGTTTGAACGATAAGTAACGCTGGAAATTTTATTTCGGTTTAAAAGGTGTATGTTCTCATAAGAAGAATCTACGGCCTGTTTCACTAAAGTGGATTATCCTCGATTTCGGATTATCCACTTCAGTTTTTTGTAAATATCTTAAACTTTATGGGAGGTGTGGTATTTCTTATTTTGGATTATAATAGAGTGAAGTATGCCTGAAATTTCTGTATACTTTAAACTTTTACTTTTCGTTAAGAACTATCAATTATTCAATTTCCTAGCCAAATCTAGTAGATTAACTTCAATATTTGCTATAATTCTCAAACTAGTGAAGATATAAAAATTCTAAGTTTATGTTAATTTAAGTAGCAAAATACTCTAACTAGATCACACATTAGATCTCTTAATAACCTTAAGCATCTGGAGATATTTCCCTCTGAGAGATATCTGGAGGTTTATCGCAAACGAGACGAAATTGAAAACTAGGCGCTACCCAAGATTGTAGAACAAAAAGCTGGTTTTGGGCTTGATAATACAAAAGGTATCTAAATGTTTGTTGGTTCAGGGTAGCTTTTATAATACTTACTCTCACATATGTTTGAATCCCCTTGTCTTGAGACATAAACATATTCGGAACCCTCCCCATCTTCATCACCAAGAACGTAACAATTAAACGAACCAAATGAAAAGCTACACTATATAAAATTATTCTCATTCCGCTGATTGCCATCAGGAGGGAAAAAACTAGGAAAGGAAAGGATCGGAGAGTAAAAAAATTGATAAAAATTTTTTTTAATCAACAAACGATTTTCGAGGAAAGAAAAGAAATTAAAAAAAGTTTTAATTAAATTATATAGTTCCTTCCATTCATTCATTTATTCTACTGAGAGTTTTTTTTCTCCCCTTTTTTGTACTTTATCGAGCATCCTTTACTATGTCACTAGATTTATGTGCAAAGTGTACCATCAATTTGTCTGCTGGGATCTTCTTTGTTGTCTGAATCAAGGACTCATTATTTATTTTAATTACAATGATAATGAACATTCCTGTCACGTACGGAAAAAAGAGAAAGTTTCATTATGTTACTCGGTCTGTGGAATGCGAACCTTATAAAGCTATTTATAATTGTACTGGGTTATTTGTGCGTAAATGTTTTAATCGTGATCCTTTTTATAGAAAATGACATTAGTTTGTCCTGTTAATTCAGTAGTGCAGTTTAGGGGTTATGCTTTAAACTATTTGGATTTCTAAGAACCTAGCAAAATCCTCAAAATGAAAATACTAAGTTCCAAAACTTTTAAAAACATTAAAGCTACACCCCTGTTGGAATACACGCCTATTTCGTAACATTATTAAAAGTTTGTCAAGACAACTCGTTCAATGTTAATTAACATAGACCCAAAATCCTTAGAAAAGTACAAATCTACGCAGAAATTCAGAACACTTAACAAAATGTTTATAAAACAACTTTTAAAGCGTAATTAATAAAGTTGGAGATTGTTGAGCACCCACGCATTAAAAATGCGAAGCAACGCTAGGTCATCGTACAGCCAAGAAATTTTGCGTCGCTTTTCAATCCAATTACTTTAATATTTTTTTTTCTCATTAATTTAATGTTGGTGATTTTGATGTCCCTGAACTTTATTCTTAAGAATCACAGATTCTTTTACAGTTCATTGAATGCGTCGTGATTTCTTTGTAACTCTATAAAAAGTATTCCACGTAAACTTTTTAAAACCTTTTTCTTAGTTGTGCACCTTATCGCAAAATAATAATTAATAAAGAAAATTTCTAAAGGTGAGTGACCATTTTCTCAAGAAGAACTTCCTTCACAAAATGTCATTAAAAACAGTTATATTTTTATCTGAAAAAGTTGTAAACGATTCGTAAATAAACATTTTTGTTTGAGTGAAAATTGCAGAATAAAGAGCCTCAGCAGGCAAAAGGTATTTGTGAATAAACTTTTGAGACATTGAAGTTTTATTCAAAGAGTTATTTTGAATGTTGTAAGGAGAAATAAAATTTTGCATTTCAATTTGAGTTTGATTACTTCTGTGAATTTCTATCAAAAAACTGTGAGGAAGTCATAACGTTCATTTAAGATTTGAATAATATTTATATCATCTTAGTTGTTTGCCCCGTTTCTTACAAATGTTCAATCTTCCACTTGAATTAGTGTTTATTATAAACTTAGTACTTTATTAATCCTTAATGAAGTTATTAAGTTTTTAAAGATATAGTAAAACTTAGTACATATATAAAAGGGTTAAGCAGAGCTGCATATCCTTTTTAAAACGTTTTACTTCTCATTATGTTCAAGCTTCTTCGAAATTCAATTGAATAGCCTTTTCAAATTCAAGAAAATCTGAAAAAAACTTTTAAATTCATTCAAATTTCAACCAATCTTTTCGTTTGGTATAAAATTAATGTCAAAAGCAGAAGGCCAGCACTTAATTCCTGCCTAAAATTTAATATTGTAACGATGACGACTAGTAATTAGGAATATTTGTTTAAAATTTCCTAGAAACCTTTTCTGTACGAGTTTTCTAATTACTCGATTGTATTGACGTATCTAATAATTAGGCAATACCATTTCTGAAATAAGAAATCTTAAAAAAGTTTTTGAAACACGTGCTTTCGTTTTTTCAGAAAACTTTTTCGAAAATTAATTTTTATCCACAAAGAAAAAGTTTGAATGGAAATTTTTGTAAAAATCTTCGAGCATTTTATTTCCATTTGCTAATTTACGTAAGGGCTCGTTCACTTATTACGTAACGCAAAAAAACGAGTTTTTAGACCCCCCCTCCCCCCCTGTAACAAAGCGTAACAAAATCTTAGACCCCCCCCCTCCCCCCCATAACGTAACAATAATTTTTTTCATTTAAATTGTTTATCAAATGTTTATTATACTTCCTTTAAAATTTAAAATGAATATAGAAATATATTCACAAAAATTGAAAATTTTGTGTGAATATGAAAATTATAAAAAAATATATTTTTTGAAAAGTTACGTAACAAAATTTAGACCCCCCCCCTCCCCCTGTAACAAACCGTAACAAAATCTTAGACCCCCCCTCCCCCCCTAGTGCGTTACGTAATAAGTGAACGAACCCTAAAGAATTATACAAAAAGTTTACTTGAAATTAAAAAGGAGGCAAATTGTAATATTGATTAAATTAATTTTCTAATTAATACAATCACAAATGCGCTGTCATTAGTAACGAATCAGTAGCTTTAACTTTTACATTTTATATCTATTGCTGTTCTGCTGAATTATATCGAAAAATTTTTTCTTTTCTCTTGCTTAATACATTTGGAATTTCCAATTCAATGAGATATATCCATTAATTTTATTTCATTTCTCTTCTTTCATTTCCTTTGGTACAGATGAAAAAAGCAATGCCAAAAGCTCGTCTGCTTCCAATACTGAAAGAGTTTGGTGAATATCCAGAGAAGTTTCGTCCAATCATGTGGAAGACACTACTTAAATTGCCTGAAAATTGTGAGTCTTTTGCCATTTTATTAAAAAAAGACTTGTATCCGAGCGTTCGAGTATGTATGTCAAATTACGATAAACGACCATCGTCGTTAGATGACCAGAAGACACTGAATAATCTGAAGCATATTATGTCGTGTTTATTTCATTGGTCAAAAGTATTTGAAAATGTGGCATATTTAGCAAAGTTCATATTTCCATTCGTAAAATTGAGTAAAGGAGACTTGATATTTAGCTTTGAACTTATTGCAACACTTATGCTCAACCACTGCCAATTGTGGTTTGAATTTCTACCCCTGCAAATGCCATACAATTATCTGAATCTTATCGAGAATGTTCTAATGGAAATGGATCATAAATTATACGAATTTTATAAATCAAAGGACATAACAAGTGAACATTACGCATTGCCATTAATGCAGAGTGCTTTTTCTGAGGTTTTGGATGAGCAAACATGGCCTCAATTGTGGGATCATATTGTGTCAAATGAACCATGCTTCCTCATTTTTATAATTGTCGCATATAATTCAATCCATAGGTCAATGATAATGAAAATGAAAGACATCGATAACATCGTGACTATATTTCATGAACAGAACTGCATAAATTTCAAGAAACTCATGAAAAAATCCTATACATTCATGAGAAAATGTCCATTGAACATTCATCCGAAACAATATATGGCATCCTTTACTCCGCTATCTCATGGCATGTACCAGAAATTCGAGCATTACCAAAAAAATTTAATTAACGTTGACGTGACAGAGCTAAATACTCTTCGTGAGGAGCAAAAAGTTCTTGATTGTAAGCTTGCCGAATTGGATAAATATGAGAAATCAATTGATGCACGTTTGGAAAGCTTTTTGATTGATGAGGAATATCAAAAGAGAATGAAAGGTAAGTCTTTTTTGTGTGCTTTCAGGCTTTCATTCGATAGCTGGTTTTTGAGAATATAGAAACTGTAGATCATGTTGTTTTGGTTCATATCATTGGAATCAGAACAAGAAGTCGACACAGAATCGGTTTGGTTAATTTTTTAGTGTAAAACTCGTAAAACTTAAGTTTTGAGTTTATTCGGATTCGACTTCAACAAAGTTGATTTAAGTTGACAAGATCAGCTCTAATTAGAATTCAGTTGATTAATTAGAATGAGCAAAGCATACAATTTGTTTAGTTTAAATTATAAAATGTAGATCGAAAAGTTAAGATGCAACAGATTTCATACCTCCAGCTCAAAACTCTAGTTTCTAAAAACCTTCAAAAGTGCAGAACTGATAAATTATATCTTAATCATTTTTGATGATTTTGATCAGTTCTACACGATTGCACACAATATTGTTATTAGATAATCAATCATGCATGTTGAAAGTTTTACATTTAATCTAGAATATTCGAGAACTTTAATCAAATTATAAAGATCAATGCACAAAATAAGATTCAATCAGATTAATCAAATTTTTCAACCTCAACCTAAATACACAACGAAAGCTCAAAAAAAATCAATTCAAAATTTCAGGAGAATTGAGATAAATTTCCTCCTGTGTCATTTAGCTTCTATTTTAATTAATTCGAAAATTGATTTCAAAAGCTGTATTTAACTAATATTTCCACTCCAATTCCCGTTAATCGATTTGTCTGTTTTCTAATTTTGATTTATCTTCCTACACACATCCTCATATAATTCACACTTTTGCAATATCAGTGAAAATGAAAATCACTCGTCAACAGAATGAATAAAATTTAAATGTTGTTGAATCAAATGAAGTGGATATGATATACATAGATTGTTAAAACCAAAAACCAAGCACAATTTTATCAGGAATGATACATAACCAATTTAATTTAATATCTGCTGTGAAAATTATTTAGAAGCTTTCTGTTTGTCAAATAAATACCACAAAATATTGAATCTATTATTATTAAATTTTTTGTGGGTATTATGTATTAAAATCTGGGTCTACATAGATTATGAGCATCCTTTTTTGAGCACTGAACTGAACATTAATCTATCGATAACACCGAAATTAATGATTTTTTAATATCAAGCTTCTGATAAAAATCGAACCGATATAGTTGCAAATGGATTGGCTCAAGATCTTGATCTGTTGCACAAACAATCGGTCAAAGAGGCCTTACTTAGACTTAACTCAATGCTATAGATTTCATTCCCTTCTCATATGCTGCTATTGCATTCCATCCCTAAAATTTCATGCTCTTCAATCTTTTACTCTTCTTGTTAATCTCTAATCCTTCTCAATTACAACAAATTGATGAAAAGACGCTCAATTCATCCATCTTCAATGCCTATGTGATTTTCATCATTCCTGCACGATTTAAGGCTTTCAATATCTATCAATGAACACATATGATTTATTGCTTTTCCTCATCATCTTATAAGATTCACTGATTAAAATGTTCTTGATTGACATGAAAATATTGTAGCTATATACTTTTTTTTCGGAAGGATTAATGCGAATCTTTCTAATTAAAATTCAGCAAGAGTTTCTCCTAAAAATAGATGAACGAAAACACTTCTCTTCATTTCTGTGATGAAGACATGAAATCAGCATTATTCATCTCTGTCATTTGAGAATTTTTCCATTCATTCAAATTTACATAACTGATGTCATTGGAGAGTAGATGACAGGTGTAAAGGATTATATTTTCATGATGTCATTTAAAGTTTGATTAATGAATAATAATTCTCGACTTATTTGTGATTTTACTCTCGGTATTTTAACTTTTAAGTTCTTTGACTTATGAAAAGATTTTTTGGGGATTGTTTTGAAATTATGACAATTTGATGTTAACTTTTTAAAGCCCGATTCTTGAACAGGCTTAAACTTTGCCTATTCTTAGGTTTTTAAAAGTTTCAATTTCTGTCTTGAAAACTAGTTCACTTTTATCGTAGTCATGAGCATAAAGCTTGATCTCGCCAACCAATAGTTTAGAGTGGGATTCGAACCACTCCAATTGATAATATTTCTAGCTGCAACCTTCAATCGAAAACTATTAGCTTTTTTTAAACGCAAAAGTATCTAATAAGCAAGGTTTGAATCAATTCTACAACCGAGACTAGAACCTGAGACTACTATGTCGGTACCAAACTGATTAGGGTACCTAAATGCATATAATTATTAAATCACTCCATTACCAAACCAACCCAAAGTTTATCGTTACACAATACCTAAACTCTCCCTCTAACAAAGCTTTACGACAATCCAATTTCTCATACAAATTTGACAATCATTCATGTTATGAAAAGAGGTGGTAGGAAGAAGAAGAAGGAGCGTGCCTAGGCTGCTCATTCATCAATGATAAGAGACTATAGATAATGTTGTTATTCCAATGTGCGTATATCTATTACAATAGAACGTTATTAAGACAATCAAATAACTGACATATTGAAAGACTTATTTCCTTCCCACTCTGGGAGACAATAGTTCAACTAGCATAAGATTTATATCATGTATTAAAGCACCAAGCATACTTGCCATCTTACTGAATTCTACTTCTTATAAACCCCTTACTCTATATAGATATATGCTCGTATTATTCTTATATTATTTGATTTATGACAATCATCAATTATTTCACTGCCTTTTATTTCTTCCACCCATTCCCATGATTCATATACTGTATCATAATATATCGTTCATGTAACTCAAACATGAGCACAGCACAAAAAGAAGGAAATGCACAAGAGAGAGAAAATGGAATATTTTTTCATATGGACATGGATAGTTGGGTTGCTGTTGCCTTTTCTTTACGCACACATGACGCAAGGATGAAAGAATAAAAATAAAATTTAGCTCACAATGGAAAAGAGATCATGCTGAAAATATCGAAAGCAATTTGTTGGTTGAGAAGAGGAACTAAGTGGGTGGAAAGTCTAATTGACGATGATTTGAAGGAAAAGGAAATTTTTTTTAACAATGGTTCACAAAAAAATTAGGAACAGAATCAGTAACAGAAGTGAAAAAAAAAACAGAAAACAATTGTGCCATAAATCATGAATTACAGTTTTTTTCCTTCGATCTGCCTTCTTTTTCCTTTTTTCTTTGTACTCAATACATCCATGGTATGAAATTTATTCGCCACATATATAAACAATTTTTCTTTCCTTCTTCCTCTTCTCATCTGCACTTTCGGAACCGAAGCTTTATATAAACAATTTTTGTTATTTTTCTCGTTTTTATGACGAAAAATTTTTCTTTTGTGTAAAATCATTTAAAGGAAGTACAAAGAGACGTAGCTAGAAAATTTTTAAGAAGTAGGATGGGGGGATGGTGAATATTTAAATTTTGGGAATAGTTCAATTTTTCCAGACTTCCTCAAGTAGAACAATACATGAAGGGCTTCTCAAAAATCTATTCTTCCTGCGCCCAATTCTATTAGCACCATAGGCTCAATAGCAGATTATGTCCTTGAATCTTGGTTGTCCAAACTTTTGTGTCACGGCACATTTTAGTCGTAAGAAACGAACGAAATCGCTTCCGGCATGAATTTTGTCACATTTCCGATTTTTTTCTCCAGCACATTAATTTGCCTCAACACACATTTTGGACGAAACTGCTCTAGATGACAAAACTCTGGTTACATCCTGGCTATGCCCCTGACTTCGTCTCTGGAAGATAAATTCAGTCTAAATAAATAATAAAATATGAGGAAATAAGAAGAAATCACTCATCACTGAATAAAAATTGTTTGACAATTGTGTTCATCTCCCAAAATGCTTATATTTATTTATGAATTGTTCAAGTGTAATCAAGTGATGCTAAAGAAGATTTTTGTCTCCCACAGTGCCATCGAAATGATTAATTTCTAATAGGTTTTAAGAGCTTTCACTTCTTACGTCATTCCAAGCATACGATTGTGTAGGAAATATGATTACAAATTAAATTCAATTGATATGAATCTTTACCTATTTTGAAATAATCTGCAGAAAATTAGCAATTCCGGAAGAATCCAAAAACAATTTGCAGAATCATTCAAGTTAAAAGCAGGAAATTCATTTCGGATGAGCAGATGCATGCATTTGTTATAAATGGTGGGTTGTGGTTTAGGCACATTGCGAATGAATTGATTTGAAAATGTGTTGTTTACATGCTTTGGGAATCAAGGGATCGTGAAAAATCATAAACACTAGAAAACGATGACTGTTGATTTTTTATTGTAAATATTTTTTATTTTATTGAATATTGAGGAACATTGTAATGGCTTAAAAAGAATATAAAAAGAAGACTTGCTTTATAATAAGTGAACCCTATGCAAAATAACACATTTTCGGAATCAATTGGTTTCAAATTACTCTTAAGATCAGAAGTAGAATTAGGAATTAAATATAATAAGACGAGATCAAGGTGTGGAACTATCCCAAATATCCCATATATCCCAAAAATATTCAAAATAATCCCTGAGTCTGTATGCATTAGAATTGAGATATCCCATCATATCCTTAAATTACACGTCCAATACACTAAGAATAGGTTGGGACATCTTTATTATCGTGCATACATGCTCAGGGATTATTTTAAATATTTTTGGGATATGTGGGATTAATATGATATTTGGGATAGTTTCCACGCCTTGGACGAGATCGAAATTCATCTTCTGTTAAAAAAGTTCCTACTAAGAAATTTATTTCCAATTCAATAAGTTGACGAGGCAGCAGTAAGAAGATAGTTTATGAAGTATCTCAAAATTTAAAGCAACGACCCACGAAATTAGATTTCTATAAATTCTTAATAAATTCAGCGTGAAGCTTAGCGTGAAGTAGAGATAGTTGAAATTCCAATTAATTTTTCATTTAATGAGCAATTTAATATGTACGCAGCTAGCAATAGAAAGTTTTTATTTATAACATTTAATCTTAAAACTGTGGCTTAATTCCCGGGAAACTTTATGATTGAATGAATGAATCTCAGTGTGTGCTCAGCAGATTGAAAAAGTAATCTAGATTTCAAAACACACATGATCTATTGAAAGACGAATGGATTCATTCGAGTATCAAAGCGCTTCATTTCAGGTTCACAGAACACAGTAAATCATTTCTACATTAACCAAGAAAACATCAATTTACTGTAAATATTATTTTTTTCCTCCTTTATCTGTTTGCATTATGACAAAAGAAATTGAGTCACAGTACGAGAAAGCACTCGACGAAGAGGAACAACGAATTATTTACCAAAGGAAGCTTTTACTGTTAAATACCAGGAAGACATACGAAAAGGAAATTGAGAGTCTGATTCAAATCAAAAACACTTTCCTTCAGAATCAAATTGGTGCAAGTAAGAAGGATTTGGAATTGATGTTGAACAAATATGAAAAGCAGGTGAGCTTTTTATTTTACAATTCAATGAACTCATATAGATATGCCAAATACATAAAGATATTTATTTAACTGACAGCATCTTCTTCTTCTCACTCGTTTTACATCTGTGCTGTGTGGCTGCTGTGTGTAAAATCGATGAAATTATAGAAGATGAGGAAGTTGTCTTAAAGCTCTTTTATGAAAACTATCAAAGTGTACAGTGTTGAGCAGCCTTTGTGTCGCGGCAAACTAATATTCCATATCAGAGTTTATTTGATGTGACGCGACACTGAAGAATGCATTGGTGTAAAAAGGGTTATCCACCACTGATACAAACTCTATAATTCGTAATGACTACCCATACATCCTGTTAACATTATTCATTTTTCATATCTCCACCCCACAACCATTTACTAAAATAATTTTTTATTGCTGTATGTTTTTCTCAATTCTAGCGGATACGAGAAGATATCGAAATGCAAATGACAGAGGAAAATTTAAAGCTGAAAGAAATTGCAGTACAAATGAAAGCTCTTAATGTTCGAGATAACAGCAGGAAGCATGTTTCACTAGATGAAACGTACAAAGACAGTGTGGAGAAATTAGAAGAACAACATAAGAAGTTCATGGATGAATTGAGTCAGGTAAGATTTTTCATTTCTCATTTTCAACGACGAGAAAGACAGAACATAAATCATGATATGAGAATAAAAGGAAATCTGTGGGTGGCATGAGAAATATATCATGCACATTTTTCTTATTTTGATGCTCAGGAAACTCAATAAAATACATTATTAAGGAGGATTTTATATTCTGTGGCAAGTGAAATATATTGTTTTAAAAAAAAGTTTTCTTTGTTCCTTTCTATGAGGAGCATATCTTCATTATTACAAGAATGTAATACATGTCTATGTCTTAATATGTTGAGTAATTTACAGTAAAGGAACATGACTTTGAGTTGTGAATTGGTGGAAAATAATAAATCGTGGGATGGGCCCAGCCTTTTGAACTGAAGGCACTGCGATTTAATTTATGTAAAATCTTTTGTACACCTTTGAGACCTACAGTTAAAGTGGAATCCAAACAACTTGCAAGCTGTTCCTAGTCACTATTTGTGTGCGCAAGATGCCACGGATTAAGTCCAAATGTCGTTGTCAATTGAAGCAAATCAATATTTTATAGTTTAGATTTAAGTTTTCGTACTTTTTGGACATTGAACGCTGAATACTTTATAGATTAGAATTAAGTTTTTGTACTTTTTGCTACTAAATAAATTTATTTTAACAATTAAGATGTTGCTATGGTGCACTAAAATGACGGCACAGATGTTGAAGATTTGTAAAAAAATTGCGATTTAATTTGTTTCGAACCTAACGAAAAGTGAACAATCAGTTGATTACAATGTAGCTTCCTATAACAATAGAAAATCAACTTCCTGATGAATTAATTAGGGGCCGTTCACTTATTACGTTCGCAATTTAGGGGGGAGGGGGGGTTTGAAAATTTGTAACAAAATGTAACATAAGGGGGGCGGGGGGTGTCAAGAAGTATGTAACGTTCCAACTGACGTCTGTCTTTTAAAAAAAAGTTCACGAAAATTCACACCGAAAACATTTTTTTAAATTTTCCACCTTTTTAATGATAAAATAAATTATGAACGTTCAGGGGGGGGGGGGGGGGGTTGTGAGTTGTAATATATTGTAACAAGAGGGAGGGGGGTGAAAAAAGTCGTTTTTTTGCGTAACGTAATAAGTGAACGACCCCTTATGAAAAACTTTAAATTAATCCTTCTCTCACGAGATAATACGCAATTAAAGGAATTAAAATATTCATAATGCTGTAATCTGTCCCATAATTAGACATAATTACTTAGTCAAGTTTGATAATGGTAATTTAATTAAGTAGGAGTTATTTCGCAGATTTATAAACAATACAAAACTTTTAATTACAGTTTAAATCAAGATTTCGTGCTTGAGACTATCTTTAAAAGCCTCTTATTCATTAATTTATGAGAGTGTAGAGCCATTAAAACAGCATTTTTATTAATTTCGAAAAAATTTCCTTATCAACCTTTTCTTCTCTCGTTTTTCATAATTATCTTAGCTTGAAACATTCACGCCGCCATACCATAATTCTGAGACTGAAACATCGATAACGACAACCACGTCATCTCAAAACTCGTCCCATTCTGAAATTGACGTTGTTGAACGAGCACTTTACGAGATTCAAGATGAATTTAATAATTTGGTAGGAAAAGATGGAAACAAAGCTGATTATAAGTGGAATATGAAGGTATGATGCTGATGATATTCATTTTTTTTCATAAGATGGTCTAAAAAGTTTATTATTGTTCTCAATTTTTCATCCCTTATCGTCATTATTAATTTTTTTTGCGACTATATAGAAGCTCGAAGGAGAGGTGGAAAAGCTGGAACATGAAATTAATTTTCTTTTGGCAGACCTTAAAGCATACTGATGCTTTGGCTTGATATAACTTTAAATTAATAAACTTTTTTGTGTGAGCTTAACACAAAATTTAATAATAATTGAAATGTTAAGTACGTTTGTGGAAGTCTTCATGTTTCGTGTGTATTTTAAAGAAAAGTTTGTGAGAAAAAAAATAAAGAAAAAGATTTGAATTTCTTCGAAAAAGTTTAGCTTCTTCGTTTGCTGTATAGCTTGTATTAAATGAAGTAGAAAAAAAATTCTTTGACGATATTTTTATATTTCTAGGAACAAATTTGAATATGATTCGATTGAGCTTTTAGGTGTAATTTGAATTTTAAATGTATTTAAGAACTTTCAAGCATAAAATGTTAATAATAAAGCAACATGATTTGAAAATTCAATTTCACTGTCTGCAAGCTTGAATTTCAATTGCTGAAAGAATCATTTGAATGTGGAAGCTTGTTTGGTTGTCATTATTAAGAATCATATAGGAATACACGGTTCAGAGTAATGATCTGTCACAGGCAATCACTTACCAATCTGTCAGACTTACAGACCTGTCACTTACCTGTTAAGAGACAGGGCCAAATCTGCCCTCTGATATAACAGACCTGGCACCTGTGCTTGTGACAAGCGGCTTGTGTTGAAACTCTCACAATGTCACCGTTTGTATACGAGTTCTAACATTTGTTTTGCTGCAAATCCGACTAGATCTTTGGATTGTAGTTCCAAATGCGACTTACAACTTAAAAGATATTTGAATTGCGGACTGTTGATGTCTCTTGGATAGCTCCTGGGTCTTTTTAAGGGATCTATTTGTCAGTTTTACATTGTTTCACAGATATATGCTTTTTGGGATACTGTGTTTTTTCGGAAACATGTTCCACCATGTATAAGGAGTTTAAACCTAAAAAAATGCCCTTAAAAATATTTATAAATCAGTCAGTTTTTTTTTTATTTCCCAGGAAAGAAAATTCTTGTTTGGATTTCCTATATAATCCTTAGAAAATCCTTAATAATCAAAAATATTTATGTTCCTCATTCCTTATTTTTTTGTCCCATTCAAACTTTTAAATGGATAAAAAAGAAGAAAAAGTACTTTTTCATTTCCTCTTCCACTGATAAAAATCCTCAAAGGCATTCATTTTTGATGTGAGAAAAAAAGAAGCAAAAAGCTAAGATTAAAAGTGGAACTTAAAAAATGTCGAGTGACCTGCCTTTAGGTGTTTAATACATTAAGGGTAAAAATTTTTCTCCATTCCTATCTTATGCCATATTTTTTATGCCTTTCGGACATAAACTGTCATGTTTTTCTAAGATTTTTATTTCAACATTATTTTGTAGAATTAGTGTAAGTTTGTTCATGTTCTGTCTAAATATGATAAATTTCTTGCCTTAGTATTAAATATTTGGATTCTATGGAGATACTCGAGCAGAAAATGAATCAGTTTATGGCCAAAAAGGTAGGATTATCAAACGAACTTTGACCTCTGCATCTCATGACGAAATCAATCAATTCAAAAACCTTTTGATCTAAGGATTTTCTTCAGAATATAGGACGTCATGTTCTAAAAATAAGACAAATGGAAATTTAGTCATGGAGATTGATGTATTTTTTATTGAATTTATGAGTTTGACAATTATTCAAATGTAGATTTTTACTTTTGAGGTTTTTATTGTTGTTGACCTCTTGACCTACCCCTCCCCTTTTACGTTTTTCCAGTATTGGAACAAGGGTGTTAAACTAATTAAAATGATCAAATATAAACCAAAAATTGACAAGTTTCTAACCTCTGAATTAAAAAGAAAGATATTGAACCTATAAAAACTGCGTCTTAGTCCTTCATACACAACACAACTTTATTTTTAAATTTAATGAAATGTTTTTTTTTTCTACTAAAAAAAGGAACGAAATGAAGAATAAATAAACTTAAAAAAGGAATCCCAGGCTTAAAATAGATTTTCAGCATTATATATATTTTTGTTGTAGAGATAACTTTGGGATAATGTTATGTTATGAAAAGATAGACTGTTGAAGAAGAGGGGGATACAGTAGGAATTTATGGTTTCAACAGCATTACTAGATAAGTCTTTAACAACTTTAAATTAAATACTCGACTCTTGACACAATTTATGACTTTTAATATTTTTATAGCGCACAAGACACAAAACTTTTGGCAATTTTATGAGATTGTTTTGTTAGACTTTATTGTTCCTCGTCTGTACTCATTCACGCAGAAGACACAAAAAAAACCGGTAAGCAATTTTGAACATTACAACACGATTTGCAGTAATTCATGTTGTTCTCCACAATATATGACTTTAATCGCGTGCTAACAATTCATGTGAAATAAAAATTATTGTTTTACTCATCATTCCGATTTAACAACCGTTGCTCACTAAATTGTGATGTTTAATATTTTAATACCTTTTGAAAAAATAAAGATTGTAATTTTTTTAAACCGTTTGAGGCAGTCAAAAGAGGTAGAGATTAGTTGTGGCGCATTTTTACCGCATTTTTCACACCAAACAGCTTTGAACCTGTCTTTCCAAAAAACGCACATCATTATGAACCAGCCCAATTTTTTGATGACCCTGATTAGGGGTAAGGGTTTACAATCTTGAATTGTATGGCAGTTAAAAACCATTAAAACTGTTCATTGAGGAAAAATTTAAGACAAGAAGTAGGGCTGTTAATTTTTTGTGATGCTTTTGAAATAGTCCTAATGCTGTTCTAGTGCATCACAGTAAGTTATATTTCTAGTACAAACTTATGGTTGAGCTCAGATGCCGCCTAAAACTGGCTCTATCACTGGCTACCGCTTTTCAATTTCCTATACCAAATGCAGGACTGTCTCTATCAACAGCCTCTTTCCATGAGTTTTTTGGCCTTCCACGTGCTCTTTTTCCATCCACAAAGTCCGTTTGAGTCGTATGTATGCAAATAAAGACAAAAAGAAAGCCCAACCATACCCAACAATTCAGCTAACAATCCAGCAAATGTAAACACACATGCTTAAATATCAGAAGAGAAGTTACATCATAAATACTCTACACATTTCAATTTATGATATTTTTCTCATACTTACGTACACCCATTCATTTTAATTCGCTAGTATTTATGGTGTTTGGTGTAAAAATGATTTAAGTCCATTTTCAGTTCAGTAATGATAATTAATACAGATCGTTAAAAATATTTATGGTCTGTAAAAACTAGTTGCTAATTATTGGTAAACACGAAGGGTAATAAAATAATGGTGCAATATTTTTCTTGAGTTATTAAGTGTGAAATGAATAGTCAGCAATTTGTTACATTCCAGAAAAAAATGAGGGTAACGTCTCAATTTCCATTTTGTTATCGCGATTGGAATGAACGATAATAAATTCAAATTTCTTAGTACTTATTTTTCTGATTTTTGCAGTGCTGCTGTATTACTAAAAGAGATTTCCAGAATTTTTTCGATGGAGGGGTTAAGGGGAAGCTGATTGATTTGAGGGGCATTTAGAACTTCTTTCCCAAAAACCCTTAGCAAATTAGAAAAAAAATCTTTGAAGAGTGGGAGGAGACCCCCAAGTACCTCCTTGGCTCAATCGATTATAGTTTCAAAGTTCTAGAAAAATTTTCAATCATAAATTCATTTTCTCCTCGCTTATTTTCTCATAATCGTACTTTATAAATTACTTTCTGTAATCTTCGTTCGAGCTGTTCATTTCTTACGCTTACAGAATGTTACAATCCGTTCAGGGATAAATGAGAATGTTTTCCCACGTTCCTTTACATTCAATTTAATATAATTTAATTCAATTACTTTTAAATCCTTTGAATTCAACACAGTTCAGTTTCTATCATTATCATAGAGCAACACAGCAATAGAAACATCGTTATATACTGTGTTGAACTAAAACATTTAATGTTTGTGAAGATAACAGAAGAAATTACATTATGATCGAGAACAAATTCACAATTGTCCGCATTATCTGATACAGGCAAGCATTATTATTATTATTGTGTAAAATGACACGCAACAAATAAGCTCCTTTATGAACTTATCATTTTCTTTATTATTATGACTCCCATTTTTTAAATTAAATTAAATCAAGATAACATTTTGTAGGCTGTATGAAATGGGATCTTGCGATTATGTCGAGGAAAAAATCTTTTGCTCGCTTCTGTTTTAGGATAAAATAGGCATAACGTGGATTCCGAGTAATGGAATTTGAGATTGAAATTCTTTTGGGTGTCTTCACTTTTTGATGATTAATAATTTTTTAATAAATTCACTTGAAATCAAGGCTGTTTTAAGGTAGAGCTTTAAATAGATTAAAGGTTCCGGATGAATCAGAATGATTTGTTTTTTGATTAAATCATGGTGGATCTATGTGACAAAATGACATTTATGTTGACATGGTGGCGACTGGATGTTGGCATGATGCTTAATTGTCAATAGCCTTTACGTTAAGACCACGCAGGATGTTAATAAAATCAGCATCAAGTCATCATCAAGTCGCGGGATGAGGATAAAGAACACAAGAAATCTCTGACTGCCTCAAATGAAAGCTCACTCTATAAAGACCGCCTTTATAAGTTCCTCGGGAATAATAATCAAAGAAAAGTCATTCCTTTGGCAGTTATAAAAATATGCCATATTCTCGTTAACTTAATTCCCATGGGTCTATCAATCTCTTTTAATCAAGTCAAATAAAACCCAAAGGTTGTCATAAAGTAATGAGATTTTAAAGCTTGACTGTGCTTGATTTTGGATCATTGATTATCGATCAAAATCATAACAAATCGAATAAATGAAGGACATATTCAGAAGCTTCCAAAAATAAAATAAAATGATTGCGTGGGCATGATTGCTGAAAAATTTGATAAATTTTGATGGATCTTCTCTTGATTTTGAAATATTGAAGATGATCTGGTTAGTAATAGAATTAAATCTTGAAACTTACTGAACTCATGAAATTACAATTTTTCTATTCATCAAGCAAAATATTCTTCTGATTGCTCAATTTGATTAGATAAGTAATGATGATAATTTATTTTTAGAAGTGTGGGGACATTACCCGGACGATGAATGACTTGAAACTTTTCTATTTGACCTGCTACCTTGAATATGAGAATATTCACCGATTTATGATAGTAAATAAATATGATTCCAGACAGTAATTCTCGCTGGTCATCAACCACAGCTATATGCGCAATAAATAAGCAGCTATGAATTTTATTAAACGTAGAACTGCAGGATATTGACACTTGAATCATATCACTTGGATATAAAATATTGAAACTGTCTAATTTGGCACAACTTTTATGCTTTTCTAATGAATTTGTAATAAAAGACAGCAAGCTACTGAAATTAATAAAATAAGGAAACATGTTCCTTGACACACTAAAATCAGTCATATAAAATAAAGATATGAGTATTAAAAGTAAGTACCTCACTGTCAATATACTTTATCCAATTTGTAATCCTCTAATTACAGCGATCATAATTTTTGATGACTTTTTCAATATATATCCTGAAGTGATATTAAATAAGCATGAAAAGTTGTTGCTAGAATGTTAAAGAAAGGATTTGTAATGTCGAACTGTGCTTTTTGGTCTTACCTAAATTTGAAGCATTTTTTGGATTTTTTGAATGCAATCGTGCCTTACTTGAGGGACAAAGCTTAGAAAAAGCTTGTACTTTGCTTTATTGCTGTCACAGATATTGTCTGTTAACACACTGCCTTTAACAGGTAAGTGACAGGTGAGTGCCTGTGACATATCGCAACTCTGGTTAAAATTACTTACTTTACTTCATTGGCTCAAGCGAACGTGGGACTATTATCGCATTCAGAGATCGTCTAAAGACAGCTCTATCCTTCGAGCATTCAGCAAGTTCAGGATATTGAGGACCTTAGCATTCTTAACAACACATCCAATGCAGGTATTCTTCGGTCCACCTCTAGATCTCTAGCCATCCATAGAGTCCTCAACTGATACTCGGTACTGGAGCATCTTATTGGAGTTTAAAAACGTGTCTAGTGCTGTGTTTTATTGTTATGCTGACATCAAATGCATTAAGCAAAGAGCCTGAAATATCATCTGTAACTCAACTTGGGAATCAATAGGAACAATTTTTGTTTTCTGTAAAGATTTTCCATCATGACTTGACCCCCTTTAGATCACTAAGATTATATGGGGCCATTCACTTATTACGTAACGCTTTTAGGGGGAGGGGGGGTCTAAGATTTTGTTACGATTCAAACAAGGAAATTTTTTTTTCATACAAATTTTGTTACGAGGGGGGGGGGGGGTAAGAAGTCATTTTTTCGCGTTACGTAATAAGTGAACAGCCCCTATCTAGTAAGATAACTTTGTACCATTACTATTCATTTTTAAAGAATACCTACAGCAATCATTAAAAATCTTAAGATTCTCTATAAATTCCACTTTTCAATTCCATAGAAAAAGTAATTAACATCAGTGAAATACAATCTATTCCAACTACAATGTTTAATGCCATTAAACCACGAAATGGATTTAACAAAGTTTCATTTTAACATTTTCACATTTTTTACACCAAATGCTTTTTTTACATGTTCTCAATATTTCTTTTATTGTTATATCTTCTTCCACCACGATACCGATGCACAGAGAATGGAAACACATTCATCTATATAGTTTCAATTATTTTTTCGACTCTTCGCTTTGTTTTTACGCTTTGTAATCTGTTACATTGTGCATTAATTTCTTTTTTTTTGTATCGCATCGCCGGTGACTTTAGCAATGCAAGTTCAATTATTTTATGTGAACAGTTCCTTACTGTCTGTATAAAAATATTTATTTTATACTATTTGAATGCAATTAAAACTTTTATTTCGCATTAAGCTACGAAGCAGGCAAGTTGTACAGTTTAAGTTGAAAGTATTGTGAATATTGTGAATTAATTATATAGCCACGATAAGTGAAAAGTTCTCTGCGAATTTTATTTTCCATTCTTTATCACTCGAGTGCCTTTATCTCATTTACCGTACCCCGTACTCGATTTTCATTAACAAATTGGAATCGAAAAGTTCTGGCTTTGTTTCAAGATCAAGTTGCATTCAATTATCTGTAATGAATCGATTGAGTTTTATTGTACTTCCACTAATTGTTGTTGCCATGCTACCATGTCCGAATTCAGCAGCACAGAAAGTAAGATTTTTGTTTGTGCTTTTTCGTTGTCATTTTATCAGAGCATTCGTTAATTTATTTACAGCCAACATCAATTGCAGATAAAATTGAGCCAATAACTTCCGAAAGACAACAAAAATTACAGCAGCTTCAACAGCAACAACAACAACAGCAGCAACAAGCGATGCAAAATTCATTATCGAATCGTTCTCCATTTTTGGACACTTTATTTAATGTGATAAATTTAATTTGATGATGTTTTGGGGGTTGTTTATAAATTATGTCCATTAATTAGATTGACTTGGTCGAAATCTAGATAGCACAAATTATAATAGTATTGTTAACATTGCAACGAATTGTTGTCATTAAAAAGTGGTTCCTAAAACTCAATTTATAGTAAAAATCACTTATGGACGACCCCTAGCTACAAAATTTAGAAAATAAATCAATTTAATCTAATTCTCATTCATCCACATCTTTAGATTCCAATCCAAACACTACGAGCTGTGAATGAGTTAGTACAAGGAATTGCTGGTGGTGTGCAGGGAATTGTAGCAGCAACACAACAAAGGCCTGCTCCATATCAGTACCAACAGCGACAGTATGAGGATTTGAATGGAATTTAATGATTGAATTTTCATCTCCACATTATTGAAAAGTGCATTTTCAACACCTTACCTATTCCACACATCATAGCATGTTCTGTGTAAATAATATTATTTGGAAATAATTGCATTGCTTGATAGAGAGGTATTCTTAGTATGTATGTATGTAGAGAAATTTCAAATGTGAACGATAAAAATAATTTTTTAGAGCAATAAAATTTATAGAAATTTAATTTTGTTATCAATTCATAGGATATGGGAGCAGTGAATGGAAGATATATGAGGAGCGTAAATCAAGCGCATTCTATATAAGTTTTAGAAATTTAGGTCAGTTCTAGTGGGTTTCTTTTCATGAATCATTCGAGAAAAAGAATTTTATAAAATGGCGATTGTGATCACGCGTTAATTTAAGATGTGCCAAATTTAATCACTTGTAGGGGCAGACTTTTTGCTTGCTAGCAATTAAGACAAATCTATAAATTCAATTTGATGCATTTCTGCTCGAATGTGGGACTGTGTTGAAGCTTTTGTAAGACAAATGTATTTTTCAATTCATTTCTCTTGAACCTTGTAGTGTTGATGCAGAGTTGCATCTAAGGTATTAAGGCTATATATATATATATATATATATATATATATATAGGCGAATCTGCCAATGCGTTCAATCAGTTATTGGCTGGGCAACATACAGATATCAGTATCTCTCTTTAGTAAGAACGTGTGTTCGATTCCCATTAGAGATAGATCTCAAAATTACTTTATATAGATTTTGTAGATATGGGGCTGTTCACTTATTACGTAACGCGAAAAAATGACTACTTAGACCCCCCCCCCCCCCTCGTAACAAAATTTGTATGAAAAAAAATTGAATTGAATGTATTGAATAATTCATTGATATAATCCAGACATTGATTCCAAAATCATTCAGAATTTTCATTAAAAAATTCCGATAACAATTCAGATCAACATTAAATCTCAAAATCTCTCAAAGAAAAGAAGAAATTTCTTCCAGAAAGTATTTCCTCATAAATCCAATTCCTCCTTGAACATGTATCCATTCATGTGCATGTGATAGCTCCCTACATACATAATATTTGATACAATCATTCAGATTTTAAAGATGAAGAAAATGGAAAATAAATTCATAAATTATTTATTTTGAAAAGGGTTTTCCTATATAATGGCATTTTGATTATATTCAGGTATCATTCAGTATGTGTGTGGTGATATGGAAGACTACTTCAAGTATCATAATGATTATAATGATGATTTCCTTTCAATTGGATCAATTGTTTCTACATTCAGATGCAATAAGAATTCCTCAATTGGATTCAAAGTTTATCTTTAATACAAGTCAGATGCACGATGAATGCGAAATTTTTCCTTTAACTTCCATTGCTCAAAAGATTTCTTTTTAAAGATTTTTCCTTTCTTTTTCTTTTTACTTGTGCTTCCTCAGGCTTTTTCTTTCTGCTCTCTTGAAAGTTAAAAGAATTGAAAATTTTATGATAAAAAGGAAATAAGATGTACATTTTCATCCCTTTTTCCTTCATTCATATGAACGAGTGGGAAAAGTAAATTGATAGAATTGTCAACAAGGCAAAAAAAACCTGAACAATAATAATAATAATAATAATGACGATGATGGGGTATTGTAGATTTCAAAAAGTATCTTTTTTGTGTTTCTACGAAAAAGGGAAGATTTCAAGTTTTGAAATGCTTTCTTCTATGATAAATAGAATCTGTTCATTTGTTTACTTTTTTTTAAATGCTTGAAGACTTTTGGGAAATTTTGATGTGTTTTCATGAAATAAATATTATTGCTTTATTTTTGTTTATAGGGCGTAGCTACTAGCTAGAAGAGCTTTCAAGGTCGTGTGTTAAAAATTAAAATTAAATCGAATTTTAAACTGGATACAATTTTTTAATCCAGTGGTTCACAAGTAAGCCACAAAATTATGGAAACAAAAATATAAATGTAGTGGTTGAGTTAAATGAAATCTGGGGCATCGAGCCATATATCAAATCTGCCATTACAAAAGATAGGCGTTTGTAGGGTGGGTGATTTAAATCAAAAATCAAAATCAAAATCTTTTTGCAATGATTTTAAAAAGGGATTTTGATTTAAATCATTTTTGCACAGGGATTTTTTTTTGGGATTTCAAAATCATTTTAATCATTTAAATCATTTTTCAAAGAGATTTTTTTTGGGATTTTGATTTAAATCTCTTGTATGAAAGATTTTTTTTGGGATTTTAAAATCCCTCCATATAAAATTTTTGTATGCAATTTCTCAAATTATTTTTCAAATCAACAGTTTTCAGTTGCAGTTTCTAATAAGTAAGAATGCAGTTGATCCTTTCTCGGACAGAATCTTGCAACTGGATCTTTTAGATCCAATCATTTCTTTAATAAAGGTTACAGCAACCAATGGTTCCATGCTGTTTGACTTATACGAAATCGAATTCGTGATTTTTAATCTTCTGTGCCTTGCTGCTTACATTTAAATAACTTGACTTCATCAATCATGCCTGGATCTTACTCTATATGAGGAACTGCCTGCTTTCATTCCTTTTAAAATCTTCAATGTCTTTTATTACAGGACTTGAACTGCCTAGTTCGTTTCATTGAGATTTAAATCAAAATCAAAAATAAATTCTGCGATTTTGATTTAAATCCCAAAAAATCTCCCCACCCTGTTTGTAGCGCAAGTGGTTAGACATCAGACGAGATCTGTAATCCTTTTTGTGAGAATGAGGGTTTGATTCCCACCAGAAACTGATCTCAGTATTATACGGGGTTGTCGATATGACAATGATTCACACAATTCTCACGACATTACAATAAAGAGTACAAGTTCAATAAAGAGCATATACAAATGTATTTGATCCTAGTCTCAGCCCTAGGAGGTAAATAAGTGCCACGAATAGCCCTAGGAACCATCCCGCCTGTGAAAAATCTCTTGTTACTTCTCTGTCTCTCAAGATGCTGCTTTTTGCAGATTGTTTTATTTTTAAATCCTCAATCATGATAACATCAACAGAGTTTTCAAGCATCAGGTAAGGGGCTGTTCACTTATTACGTAACGCGAAAAAATGACTTTTTAGACCCCCCTCGTAACAAAATTTGTATGAAAAAAAAATTTCCTTGTTTGAACCGTAACAAAATCTTAGACCCCCCCTCCCCCTAAAAGCGTTACGTAATAAGTGAATGGCCCCTAATTGTATCAATTTCCAACCAGACCAAATCAAAATAAAAGGAAATAAACAGTTTGATTTACAATTACTGACCGATAAAAAGTTTAGATATTTTCCTTAACGATTTCTTACTGTGTAAATTTGTTGAGGTGTTCTTGATAGGATTTTAAAATAAATAGAAAGTACGGACAACTTTACGTGAGTAATTCCAATGGTTTTAAGACTTTTTGTCATGGAACTTTTAAAAGTTATCCTTTCTTTCTTTTATTTCCATTATGAAGAAGAAATGTTTTTAGGTTGTTGGATGAAAATTCTGACAAAAAGGCTAAAGATTCTTGAAGTCTTTTTTTTTGTATAAAACTTAACAAATTTGTCAAAATTTTTGAAAGAGAAAGGATGCTTGTTGTTCCTCAACTTAATAGAAGAATATTTTCTTTAAATAAATCAAGTTTTAACATTCGAATGTTTGAATTAAATTTTTTAAATGATTCAGGAATTATTAATATTTTATGTTTTTTTAATCGATTTATTATAAAAGTATTAAGAATATCATTACAATATTATTTTCTATTAATTATTGAATAATTAGGTAAAAAGTTAAATAATTCATCAATGCTACTCATTTGCAATAGATTGGAAGCAGCATGTTGTCGATTTAGATGGAAAGGTTTGGTTATAAATTGAAGTAGAATCTAGAAATCTGAAGAGGAAACAACGATTAGATTCGTTAAACCACTTGAAGAGCTAGGTAATAGATTTGGTCTTTAGAAATTTACCTGAACCTAATTTTTGTTAAAAAATTACAAAAGTCCTCGTGTTATTGATCGAGGGACTTCAGCGCATTTTTGTAATTAACAAATAATTATAATGAGTGCTTATAAAGAAAGGCTTTATTATGTAACGGTCAGTTAATAATTTGAAATTTTTACGCTAAAAGTTGCACTACAAAAACATCAATTATAGTATAGTTAATAATTTGTTGCAATGAATTTCCATACAGAAAAAGTTTATCATTTAACGGTTTTTTGAAATTCAAATTTTACAACGGCTAGAAAAAATTTGAAATTATAGAGGTAAAGTTGAATTTTTTAAACGTACTCATCACGTGGTTTTGTTTATGAAATAAAAAAATCATTAATTATAGTATAAATACACTGTTTCAAGACTTTTAACTGTTCGATCGGACAATAAACAATAGTAACGGAGCTGATAAAACAAATTTGAGCTCTCTACGATGTCTGCTTAAAAAGTTTTTCTTCAGACGAACGAGCATCCGAACGAACGAACGAAATAAATAGTATTTATGAAGATAGTCAAACCTGTAATATATGTTTTGCAGGAATCTAACCCGAATTGCACAAGTCGGTTAATCGATCAGAAATCCGTCACCAAGCCAGTGTGACTTTGGCATGGTGCTGGATTTCTATTTGACTTTTATTCTACAAGTTGAAAATAATGGTTCAATATAGATATGAAAGTATCAATCCCTTGAATAAATGAAACTTGATTTATTAAATTTATTAATGATTAGACTTCATTATTCCATTTCAGTCTTGAAAACAAATTAGATGATTATTTGTTAATTTATACAGAAAATTCCAGTAAGTCAACCAGCCACAGATTAAACTTGTTGTGCATAAATTTCGGTATTTTAAATTACCATGAACATTTCATCTGGTAAATTGCTAGAAGCTTTAACAATTCATGGTATTCGCCACATATTTACTAGAAGTGGGAGTAAATTTACAAGGATTTTCTGGTCTGTTGCGGTTTTGTTATCAATAATTGGATTTTGTTTCAACAACTACATGCTGTACATGAAATTGAGTGAAAAACCTGATATAAACGTGAGAATAAAGCAAAAGTTTATAAGCAAGATTCCGTTTCCAGCTATAACTCTTTGCACTCCAGTAGTTGCTAAGAACAATGTTATTTCTTTATACAATCTGTCAAAACATATTAGATTCAAGCCTAATGATCCATTGAATTTAACGATTCAGGAACAAAACTATTTGGCATCAAATATTCAAGCTTGCATTCCTAGTTTTTCATTTTTAACAAAACGACATACTCAAAATCGAACATCTGACAACATTGTTAAATTACTTAATGAGAGCTTCTTAATGATCAACGAGACATTATTAAACTGCGGATATAAAGAAATATATGGTGACTGTACAACACTTTTAAATCGAGTTATTACAGATAAAGGATTTTGTTACACATTTAATTTAATGGGATTTAATACGATTTTCAATGACAAAATCATAAGCGAGGATTTCGATAGCTATAAAAGATTAAAAATTCCAAAATCATTGGATGTTTTTAATTTATTAAGTAGTGAAGATGTTGATGATACATTAGAAACATTCAAATGGTCATTAGACAAAGGATATGATAAACATCATGAAGCTGATTCCGTTCCCGTGAAAGCAGAAAAAAGAAAAACATTTTCTGTAAATTTAGTAATAAGAGAACCGGATATATCAAATATATGTATTATGACAGGAAGAGTTTTCAGCTTTTATATCCATTTACCTAATGAAATTATGTTACCATCACACCAGGATTACATTGTTGAGTTCAAAAAAAAAGCTGATGTACTTTTAACAGCAAAATCATATACAACTAATGAAGGAATGAGGAAATTTCCCCCAAGATCACGCGGATGCTACTTTGAAGGGGAGAAACTGTTGAAATACTTCAAAGCCTACACAAAAGCTCATTGCGAATTCGAGTGCATGACAAACTATACACTAAAAGAATGCGGATGCGTCAAGTTCTCAATGCCACGCAGTCCTTCAACTCCAGTTTGTACAATTGAAAAGGCTGATTGTTACGTTGATGCTATGGATAAATGGCCAGATCATGAAAAGTTTCATGATAGATTTGAAGCGACTTGTGGATGTCTAAAGACTTGCAATGATATAAAATACGATGTGAAATTTGAAAAGGCATCAGCAGCTGACAACGTTTTGCTGGTTTTTGCGTTGTTTAATTTTTCAAAGGGGTAATTTGATTTATTTTTGGTAAACAAGAATTTCATTTGATGACATCTAACATTTCAGAGATGTTGTGTCTCGCATCAGTTTTATGTTTGATGACTTTGAAATTTTGGAATATGAAGAGTATGCAGCATACAGCCTACATAATTGTAAGTCAATTTTGTTAAAAGATTTTGAATTTATTAAATTATTTTCAACCTTTAAGTTGTCGCAGATGTAGGTGGTCTCCTTGGATTCTTTCTTGGATGCTCGATTCTCTCAATAATTGAAATTGTTTATTTTGTTTTTGAGACCTGTTTGAGCAAGTTAAAGGGTCGATTTACCAGGCTAGGACAAAATGGAAGGAAAAAGAATGTAATGTAAGTTTAAAGTTTAAGTCATTTTGATCTGCATCAAGTTCTTAGGTATGCCTCTATTTTTAGACACACAATATCAAGGGAAATAAATGATTTTGTTCTGATTGAAACATCTAAAAGAGCTTCTCATCAAAATATGTTCAATCCTCCACGATTCAGTAAGAGGAAAGTCAAGAGACAATCAATTAAATCAATTTATTGAATTTATGCCTGCATCGTACACTAGAAGTTAGCCTTAAAATTGGTAAAATTTTAATTTGAGTCATTTGTAAATGACGTATATTAACGTGGGGATTATTATGAACCCCTCCCTCATTCTTCTTTCTTTAATATTGAAGTATCATAAAGCGATTGGCCCCTTCCGTCTCCAAAAGTTTTACATCATTTATGAACAACCCCTTATCAGATTAAATATTTACAGCAGTCTTGTTTGTTATTTGTAGTTTGGTAATTATTAATAACTTTATTCTTTGCTTTAATGTCATGAATAAAGCCTAATCAACTAATTAGATAATAAAAAGTAAATCCAATAAAATTGTTGACATTTCTTATTCTCTACGTAACATATAAGTCATTTCAAAGCTAGTTCTTGATCAATTCATACATAAGAAAATGAAAGCATCGTCTAAGCTAATTGAAAACATTTCAATCCATGGGATCGGATATATTTTTGTAAGACATGCCAGTAAATACACAAGAGTATTTTGGAGTCTTGTTGTTTTAGCATCAATCGGTGGACTTCTATTCAATAATTATTTATTATATCAAAAACTAAATGAAATTCCTGATATTAATGTTCGGACAGCACAAGTATTTTCTAGTAAAATTCCATTTCCAGCTATTACAGTTTGTACACCATTATTTGCTAAAAATCATTTAGGTCATTTTTACAATACCTCAGCATTATTAAGAGGAATGACAAAAGTTAAACTCAATTTGCCGATAGATGAGCAGAACTACTTAGCTTCAAACATTCACGCATGCAGTCCCGATTTATCTATGAGCCTTAAATTTCATGTTGAAAACCGGACAGAAAATAACATAATCAAGCTTTTAAATGAAAGTTCCTTGACATTAAGTGAAGCTATAATAAATTGTGGATTTAAAGGTTTTGTAACTGATTGCACATTTATTTTTAATCGGGTGCTGACTGACAGAGGCTTCTGCTATACATTCAATCAGCAATCATTCAACACTATTTTCAATGAGGAAGTAATTAGTGAGGATTTCCACAGCTATAAAAGATCAAATATCCGGAAATCAATGTATGTGGCGAATCCATTGATCAAAGAGAAACTTGATGACACTAATGAAGTATTTAAATGGTCACTGGATAATGGATATCAAAAAGACCATGAAGATGATTCAGTTCCAGTGACAGCAAATAAAGGAAAATATTTTGCATTCAATCCTTACCTGAATGAATCAGACACTAAAAATGTTTGCATGAATATTGGAAATATTTTCAGTTTTTATATTCATCTACCTAATGAGATTATGCTGCCAATGCATCAGGAGCATTATGTAGAATTTAAAAAGAAAAGGGATATCATTTTGGCAGCAAAGTCCTATAAAGTAGATGAAGGAATGAGAAAGTTTCCTCCACAAACTCGTGGATGTTATTTTGAGGGTGAGAAAAAGTTGAAGTATTTTAAGACATACACAAAAGGCCTTTGTGAATATGAATGTATGACGAATTACACTTTTAAGGAATGTGGATGTGTAAAGTTCTCTATGCCTCGAACATCAAGTACTCCAGTTTGTTCTGTTGATAATGCTGAATGTTATTTTTATAGCATGTTTAAATGGCCTGATTATAAGAAATCAAAAGACATGTATGAAGCAACTTGTGGATGCTTAAAGTCATGCAGTGATGTCAAGTACGAAGTAAAGTATGACAAAATATCTTCAAGTGAAAATGTAATGCTCATCTATAATGTCTACAACTTATCACAAGCGTAAGGACTCAGATTAGCTAGAAAAATTTATTATTGCTATGATAAGTGCTTGAACATTTTCAGAGATGCAGTCTCTCGACTAACTTTCATGTTTGATGATTTTCAAATTCCTGAGTTTGAAGAATACGCTGCATACAAGCTTCAGAATTGTAATTTAAAATTAAATTATTAAAGATCGCTCATAAATGATGTCTGACAATGTTAGATCCCACTCAGCTCCTTCTGCTGAAATGTTAGACGTCATTTGTGATCAATCCAAAAGTAATTGAATATTTTATTTCAATTGATTACAGTTGTTGCTGATCTTGGAGGTCTTCTTGGATTTTTTCTTGGATGTTCAGTTCTTTCAATAATCGAAATTGCCTACTTTACTTTTGAAGCTTGTAGGAGTAAGATAAGAAATTATTGGAAACGCTTAAACAGAAATGAGAGTGAAAAAAATGTCATGTAAGAAATTTTAATCAAAACTTGAAATTCTCGTATTTTTTTAAAGAATTTTTTTTTGTACAGGAACATCTCATGTGAAAAAGTCAACAATTTAAAAATGTTAAGACCTATTCGGGTAGTTTCTGACAAGAATCAAAATGGTTTTTGAAAAATTATATTAAATAAATTCATCAACTATTCCTCTAAGAGTGAAGCATTAAACTAAAGTTTCTCATTGGAATGACGATAATTCCAAACTAATTTACATTCAAATTAATTATTAATCAGCATAATAATAAATATTTGAGCAAGTGTAGCAAACTAGTCATATATGATTTAGTAGCTAAAACTAAGGATTAGAATATTGACAAATGATTTCGTTAAATATCATTGAGACTATTAACATTCATCACCAGATTGTTCAAGCCTTAATTGCTTTATTGTTAATTTTATTCCTTCACCTTTAAATATTATAATTTATTAAGTTTGACATTTGTTTGTTGTAATTTGTTAATATGGATATCCTTTATAAGAAAAGCACTGAATAAAGTTTTTTCTTATTTTTTGGAATGACTTGATTGTGTTAAAATATAATCATGAGCCATCCTTTTAAATGGTTAGAAAATATAACTATTCATGGTATTCGACATATTTTTACTGGATATGGAAGTAAATTTACAAAGCTATTCTGGATTATTGCAATTTCACTATCGTTAGCTGGATTTTGCTACAACAACTACATGCTTTACATGAAATTGAATGAAAAGCCAGACATAAATGTGAGAATTAAGCAAAAGTTCCTTAGCAAGATTCCATTTCCAGCTATTACTATTTGCAATTCATTATTTGCCACAAATAAGCTGGCTAGCTATTACAATGCATCAAGACGCATTAGGTTGTATCCAGGTGTACCACTTAATTTGACTATTCAAGAACAAAACTATTTAGCATCGAATATTCATGCATGTTTTCCAGGAGCTGGGCCAAGTCTAGGTCCACATACAAAGGAAAGAACAGAAAATAATATTGTAAAGCTCCTCAATGAGAGCTTTATGTTGACATCTGAAACAATATTAAATTGCAACTATAAGGATTCAAACATTGATTGCATTAAGGTTTTCAATCGAGTGCTTACAGATCGTGGATTTTGCTACACATTCAATCTGATGGGATATAATACAATTTTTAATGAGGAAGTGATTAGTGAGGATTTTGATTGTTATAAAAGATCAAATATTACTAAATCCATGTACAGAAAAAATAAGTTGTCTATTGAAAAAGTTGATGACAGTAATGAAACCTTGAAATGGTCACTCGACAACGGATATAACAAAGATCATGAATCAGATTCAGTTCCAGTTAAAGCTGAAAATGGAAAGATATTTTATTTCTGTCCATTTCTTAAAGATTCAGATGTTTCAAATGTCTGTATGACTATTGGAAATGTATTCAGTATTTATATCCATCTGCCAGTTGAAATTATGTTGCCAACTCATCAGGAATATTATGTAGAATTTAGGAAAAAATTGGATGTGCTGCTTACAGCAAAATCATACCGAGCAGACGAAGGATTGAGAAGATACGAACCAAAATCTCGTGGATGTTATTTTGAGGGCGAAAAACAATTAAAATTTTTTAAAACCTACACAAAAGCTCTTTGTGAATATGAATGCATGACAAACTATACGTTGAGGGTATGTGGATGTGTGAAATTTTCAATGCCACGCAATTCCAGCACACCAGTTTGTTCAATCGAAAAAGCTATTTGTTATCTTGAAACTATGAAAAATTGGCCAGATTATGAGAAGTTTAATGATCGATTTGAAGCTACGTGTGGATGCTTAAAGACATGTAATGACATCAAGTATGATGTGAAGTTTCAGAAGACATCAACTGGTGAGAATACTATGTTAATATTTGAAACTCACAATTTTTCAAAAGGGTAAATTTCTTTTAAATATATTTAAAATTCGAGGGGAAAACAACATGATGGGAAGTTTTCGAAAAATTGTATAAAATTTTTTTTCATCATGTTGTTTTCCCCTCGATAAAATTTCAATGCTAAGCAGGTTTTTATTATTTTTGTGAACTAGCAGTGATATCGTGTCCCGGATCAGCTTCATGTTTGATGACTTCGAAATACTTGAGTACGAGGAGTATGCAGCCTATAGCTTACATAACTGTAAGTCAATTTCCTATGTGTACTGTCAGATTTAAGTAATTATGAAGTCTCTTTCAAGTTGTGGCTGACGTAGGTGGTCTGCTAGGATTTTTTCTAGGCTGCTCGATACTTTCACTAATTGAAATTGTTTACTTTACTTTTGAGACGTGCGCCAGTAGATTAAAGTACTATGTCGTAGCACATGGAGAACAAAGAAGATACAAAAATTCAATGTAAGATCCAAAAAATGTTTGTGAAGATATTTTTACATTTTTTTTATTTGACAGAAAATCAATCAAAGACAAGAAAGGATTGGATTTTATTATTAGATCAAACAAAGTTAATAATCAAATTTTAATGTTTCCTTCGCGATTACATAAAAACATGACAACAGAATCGCATTATTAAATTAGATTTGGAATTTTTCGTAAATCCTGAGTCCAAACATGTAATGAGGAACCAGAAAGCTATCATTTCCATACAGTTGACAAATGTTTACACTTATTAGCGATAACTTCATTTACTGAATAATTATAGAAAAGCATTAATTTAATGAAAAGTAGGTGGACACTAATTAGATGATGTTCAGCTTTGAAACTGACATGTAAATTTTAATAACAAAAATTTGTTTTTACTGCTGTCAGTACACACAATGCATGACTTTTATTATTGTTAAATTAAAAGCTGTTAATTATTAGATTTATTTTCGTGAAAGCTCAATTTGTCTATAGAACCAATGAGAGCTTCCATTATATTTAGATGTGAAATTAATTAAATTTTAATAAAGCTGCAAAATCAAAAATGATTCATAGAATTTTTGATTTGCCGATACAAACCATCTATAATCTACGGACACAAACCAAAACTTACAGCTACAGAAGAACCAAAATCCAAAAAAAACATGCACATCTTCAATAAACTTACCAAAAACTTAACGACAGTATCAAAACATTTGATTGGTCTCTATACTCTGCTGATAATCACCAAACTGATTCGGTTCCTGTAAATGCTGAAAGAGAAAAAAAAATTTTTGCTTTTAATCCGTATTTAAAGGAACGTGACCTGACAAACGTGTGCACACAAATCGGAAATATTTTCAGCTTTTTCATTCAAACATAGAACAAAATCATGCTGCCTATGCATCAAGAGTATTATATTGAGTTTAAAAAGAAAAGAGAGGCAAGGCCGACGAAGGAATAAGAAAGTTCACTCCAATATCTCGTAGATGCTTTTCTGATGGTGAAAACAAACTTTATTTCTTATTTTCAAAGACCCTAGAAGATTGATTTCATGTTGAAAGTGATCATTTCCCTGGCTACGCAGCTATAAAATATACTGAGACCACACTTGTAAGTTGATCTTCCTTGATATGTTAGCAATCAATCAAAAAAGACAAGAATGAATCCAAATAGATGATAATTAGCAATGAATTATTTAGAAACTTCAAATAGCTCCAATTGACAAGCCAATTAATTCTAGCAGAAATTTACTAGTAATTTCCTAGTAATTCACTAGATAACTTTCCATTTGCTACTTGCTATTTACTAGTCAAAATTCAAGTTCAAATCATCGCCAAAGACCCGCATTTTCACTTGCTATTTGACTAGTCAATTCGCTTGCAATTTAACTAGTAATTTACTAGCAAATTTGGAAAAAAATTAAATGAATATAACCGTTGATTTCCACGTGTTCTTTTGATTTTTTTTATTTGTGTAAATTATTGTAAAAGTATTAGTGTGTACTTAGTTGAAGTTAATTAAAGTACACTAACACTATGATAAAAAGCAAAAGACTTAATTTAATTAAGTCGAACACTGATCAACGCCCATGACTCGCACGCAAACCTGAGGAAGATAAATAATTAACTGAAGTCACATACAAATTTGGATCGACCTTATAAAGGTGATTTCTGCGCGCTCTTGTGAAGTATATGGCAAATGCCAAATTTAGAACAAAATTCTTTATGACGCAAAAAATTCTTTTTTTGATGATTTTTCGTAGGATTCGAACTTAAGAAGATTTAATCAAACATTTTACATGGTAATTTGCTAGTAATTTGCTAGTAAATAGCAAGTGTAATTTTCTAACAGTAAGTTGTTTTAATAATTACTAGTAAATTGCAAGTAGTAAAATAGAAAGACTAGCAATTTGCTAGTTAGTCTCGCTAGGGTAAAAGAAATTCCTGATTAGATACAAAAAAGCAAATCCTATTAATTTAAAACTAATTTATTACACTGTGAATCATTGATTGAATCATACATAAAATAATGTCAGCAACTGACAGAGTCATAGAAAATAGTTCCATACACGGAATCCGGTATATTTTTTCGAAGCATGTTAGTAAGTACGCTCGAGTATTTTGGAGTATTACAGTTTTGGCATCAATTACAGGATTACTTTTTAACAATTATTTGTTG